AGATAGGTAATAGTGCACTTCAAGTTCTAAAAGACTATGTCTACTTGGGGCAGGTAGTAACCACGGAGCCGAACCACGAGATTGAAGTAACTAGAAGATTAGGAATGGGGTGGAGCACATTTGGCAAGCACTCTCAAATTATGACAGGTATATTGCCACTATCCCTCAAGAGAAAGGTATATAACAGCTGTATCTTGCCGGTACTTAGCTACGGAGCAGAAACCTGGAGACGAAATATATATATATATAGTGGTGCAAGCATGATAATCCTCACACGCGTTTCATGCAAGAACATGACATCGTACTACGCTTATAACGTGCTCGCGGCCGTTTCGCTATCTCCACATATACTAAATTTGGTATCACGTGACGGGAATAGATGAGGAAGGTAAACGACACATCCAAACATGATTATCATGACACGGAAGTCATGTACGGCATCATTTACCTCATGCTCGTTAATTTGTACTGATCTTAAAGTGACATACCAACATTTCTCATTAGTGCTTCGCACATCATCGATTTTGAGTGTACGTGGGATCTGCTAATTTTTTGGCCCACTCCTGCATGCGCGCACTGCAAGCGCGTGGCTTCGCGGCCTTTTGATCTCCAGTAAAGGCACCTTGTGCTGAAATGGCCTTCGCAAACACAAAATCGTTCGTGAATGTTGCTAGCTTTCTGTTCGTAGGCACACATATTAACAAGTAAACGATTTTTTTTTCTACTGAAAGGGTGCAAGAACGTATTGACCCTGACTATAGTGCGAAGCCACTCGGCTGCTGGCCGCGGCTGAGTGGTGCACAGCTGTAGACATTACTACTCCCTTTTATACGTTGCGGGTAGATATGTTCTTGTGTGTTTTTTGAAAGCAGAAGTTAGCTTTATTAAGGCAAGTTGGTGATGTGGAACACTGAGTATTATATGACAGTAATGGAAAGGTATGATTCCCTGGACTGTCAAAAGGAGAACCGGGACAATAATGCACCTGCCATTAAGGCACAGAATATGTGTTTTCACGTACGTCTTACGATATTTTAGCTCGAATTCTCGATGTTTGACACACAGTATCTAGACGCGCACTGTACATGCACTCGTCTCATTATGAGCGTGCAACGCATCTAGTGAAGCGAACGAATTAGCATAACATAAAACATCACAACATATTCACGGAGTGAATGATGATGAGTGGGGCGAAGCGTCCGTCCATCCGTCGATCTGTCTATCCGTCTGTTTTTTGATGCGTCCGTCCATGCGTCCGTCCGTTAGTCTGTCTGTCTATATGATGAGCTGGTTACGCCGCAAGGACGCGCGACTGCTCCATACCATAGGGAGCTTCGTCCCTAAAATGTGAAGACAGTGTTCGCGGATTCCCCGTCGCAGTGGCCTAGTGCGTAAAGTACTGGGCTTCTGACCAGCAGGTCACGGGGTGGAATACCGGCTGTGGTGGCTGTATTTTCGATGGAGGTGAAAATGCTGTAAGCTTCTGTGCTCAGATTTGGGTGCACGTTAGAGAACCCCAGGTGGTCGAAATTTCCGGAGCCCTCCACTACGGCATCTCCCATAATCATATGTTTGGTTTTGAGACGTTAAATTCGTCGGCACCCGCAGATTGGATCGTTAGATTAGATATGAAGTGGTAATAAACTATTATGAAAAAAGTCACAGCATATCCATGGAGTGAATGATGATGAGTGGGGCGAAGCGTCCGTCCGATCGTTATTGCTTCCATCCATCGGCACGACCATCCGTGCACCCATCCATGCGCCCATCCGCCTCTCCATACGTCCGTCTATGGGTCCGTCCATCCATCTGTCTGTCTGTCTGTCTGTCTGTCTGTCTGTCTGTCTGTCTGTCTGTCTGTCTGTCTGTCTGTCTGTCTGTCTGTCTGTTCGTACGTCCATCCATCTGTAAGTCCGCGCGTCTATCTAGCCATCCGTCCATCCGTCCGTCCATGCGTCCATGTAGTGAACACTCCAAGTACCGCCATCTCCCATCTCGCATCCTCTTTGGCACACACCCGCTCTAGAGCGGGGGTGTGCCACAGGGGATGCGAGAAGTGCGACCGGTTGTTACGTACTACTACATGCATACAAGGGATGGACAGACCCACGCTTTAAGGAGCTTCGCCTCTAAAAATCGAAGCATGATATTTCTGTCACATTTCTAATTAGGGCTCGCTCAGGCAGGTTTTGATTTTATACCTGCTAACTCCGTTAGTAGGTGCTGTCAAAACGTACTATCGCGAGCAATGTGAGTATGAACACCGAACTTGTTATTTATAGTTCTTGCTCCGTAAAAAAAGCGGAACTCGGAGTGAATAGTTGCAGTTATTTAGGGACGCGACAATTTTGTAATCACACCTTCATGAACAAAACAAAACAAGGAGAGATGTCCGCGACAGCAAATGTATTATTTTCAAGCACACTTCGAAACGAACACCACATTTACGAGAACGGTTCAATAGCCATGAAGCTACTTGGGGCTACCAGTTCGCTCAAAGCTTGATCGTGTTAAGGTGCAACAAGTACGCGCACGAACACAAAGTCAGAACCACGCACATAACTTGTAATTGTCTTACCAGAGGCTGTGTTACTAGTAATATGCGCATCGTTCGGAAAATCGTCCCACAAGTAACCAACGTAGCAAAGGAAATGTGATGGGAAACAGCGAAAAATAAAGCTTGCAATATTCACACTGCATACACGAGAGACATTCATCAGTGGCCAGTTGTCGCTATTTATTCTCAGTGCCAAAAAAGTTCTGTCTTACGATGCCTTGCGAAAGAAAACATCTTTCATCCATTCATAGAATGGTTCGTGCACTGGTGGCACACAGCGTGCAGTCATCTTGCGGGATTTGTGACAAATCAGATGGCCGACATGGCAGCAGGCGCTGCGTACACGTTTAAAGGGACACTAAAGGAAACTTTTAAGTCGACAGTGATTGTGGAAATAGCGGTCCAGAAACCTCGCAGTGTTACTTTTGTGCCAAGCAAGGACATATTTTGAAATAAAATCACGTTTTAGGAGTCCGCATCGGGTTAGCGCACTTGAAGTTACCCGCCTCAAGAATTGAACAGACCGGACCGACTCACGTCACTGTTGCCGTGCACAACGGTGCCCGGCTCTACTGCGCTAGTAGCAGCAGACCAAAAGTAGCGGGAGCCACAGCAACAACAACGGCCATTGATCACTTTTCTGCCATTGGCTCAGGGATTGCAGACATTTTTGGTTCAACTGTGCCCCGCTAGATGGCACAACCTGTCGTATGTAACTACGGGAAAATTGAATTTTTGACCCACTCGCGTCATCCCCCATAGTAACGTCCGGTGGTTCTTTTTTCATGAATCAAACAGAAACGAACATACAACATTTATTGCGTCTCCTAATGCACGGAAGGTTCTACCTTTAGTGTAGCTAGATTGATTACTAGTGATTAATTGTAGGTGGTCCGTCTGAACATTACGAGGTTCTCTTCAAACGACAATCTACTTCTTCCCGCCGCTCGAACAAATTACGCGAAACTAACAGCCCTTTTTTCAGGCATATCCATTTGGAATTCGTTACCATACGAAATTAAATCAGCATCCTCTGTACATACATTTCAAAGCCTTCACAAAAAATACTGTCTCGGCAAATTATGTGGGCAGGCACACTAACTCAGGGATCTGCCATTTTTTTTTTTTTTTTTTTTTCGCGCATGCTTGATTTGCTACCATTACCGCTGAACATTTTGCTATCATTTGCTGAATATTTTGCTATCATTTGCTGAATATTTGCTATTATTACCGATATGAATTAATCTTGCTTTTGTTTTGTAGCCGTAATTATTATAGCGTTTGGTATTCACTATTTTATATGCTGCTATTGTGTTAAAACTTACTATGTTCACTTTGTTTTGATGAATTCATGACGCCTGTGTCATGAAGATTTCCCTTATAACTGTGTTTTTATTTTCCAGCGTATATTACAGTCATAGACTTAAATACCATGCCAGTTTTTTTGTTGCTTTTTGTCTTTTTTTTTTTTCTTTTTTGTTCATTTCTTGCTTTTACTCTTCTTATGTAGCTCCTTTAGCTTTCCTGTAAATTTTATACGTGTATTTTTTTTTTTGCTATCAGAGCACGCTTTTTTCATGCTGCCCACGTTATTCAACTTACACATGTTCTAGTATTAGGAGGTCCCCCCGTCAGTTCCTGAAACTATGGGACCTCCGAATGTATTACTTACTACTAAAGATGTTACATTGTATCCAAAGAAGCTGAATAAATTGATTGATTGATTGATTGATTGATTGATTGATGTGGTCAGGATGATTTTGAAAATGTCCTACTGCGGCGCATGTGTTCTTGTTCATTTCCCTTGATTTCTCGGTAAGTAGAGCACAGTTAATGATAATAATGTGTTTTAGATATGCGTTGCGTAAGACTCGCCGACTGAATGGCGTCGGTTGCATCATCGGGCTGCTATCGGGCCCGTTGGTGCAAGGAGCTCGCCGTGCTTTGCGTAAGACACACCGGCGCCACCAGTTTAGATGACGTCTTTGAGGTAAAGGCGTCTGGCGGACTCGCTCACTGGTCTTGACATAGATTGCTTTGCAGAGACAATGACGTTCGGTCTGCACTACTCAGGCGTAACAGCACCCCCGCCGCCAGACAATGCGCCGGAAAGACGAGCTGCTTCCACGTGGCTCGGATGTCGGGTGCGCTCGTTCGCCAGGTCCCTTCAGTTGTGCCTCCATGGCCTTGGGGAGGATGTGGCTCCAGGCTCAGTTTCAGGTATACATCCCATTCTTGAAGACAGATCCCAGCTCCACTGGCTTGTCGCCAAAACTTGTCGACTAGCTTCGTTTGTCTGTTCTGACGATTTTTGGTTTCACCCCGTGTCGATGGTTCTGCAACATGTCAATAACGGTTCAACAACAGACAACACACGACACAAGCAAGTGCCCTCAGTTACTCGAGAGAACACCAGACACAATATCGTACAATATGTACCTAGCTACGTGTCTACCCGAATTTTGTTACCTACACATCAAGAGGCACATGTGGGACACAGAACTCTTAAAATGAGAACTGAAATTTTTACACTTGCAACAACGTAGTGAAATAGAATACAACATAAAGTTGGCCCCCTGAGATCACTCTGGATGAGAGGGCTCAGCTAAAGCTGTGATGATGACAAAGTTTTGCCCCAATTCGCCTACGAAAGACCGAAAGGTGGAAAAGGTACTAACCAAAACGCACGGCTCAACGCGTCTGCTTTGGTGTTCAGCTTTTCTTTCCAAGTTTTGCTGCCAGAGTATCTCTCCACCGTAGTAAACGGCCACTTTTAGGCGACGATACTTATGCGGTACCAAGAGCTGCTCATACTTGCGACGTTGCACATTTGTGTAACTACGACACAAGAGCTCGGATTTCTCATAAAAAGAAACATTATTTTTCTTGGTTCCCAATTTCACGCTGTCTAGTAGCAATTTACTCGAGAGGTCTTCCTGCTGCCCTAGAGAGGGCGTGTCTTGATCAGCCCTGGACAGCTGATCCCTCACTTTTGCTGCCCTCTCACTTTCGGCCACAGGCGAGAGAGCAGTGTCATTTCCACACTCACCCAATGGCGCCACGTCGTCTCCTCCGCCGACATAGATGGCGGCACTCGCTTCAGCGATGGGCTGCACGAGTGAGTCGGAGTGACTCAACCGGAGAACTTTCTGTCCGAGGCACACTCGGCGACTCACCGACAAGGTCACGCATCTCGGCTGTTTTTGGAGAGAGTGTTTCACTACACTGAACAAGATCAAGTTCCTGCGAAAGCTTCCGCCCTGGCGATGGCGTGATGGCCACGTCCGCTAAGTTAGAAAAGAAAGTTTTACCCTGCTCTTTGAAAAGCTGCTCAAAGTCATTAAAAAATAACGAAAACGATCGGGAAGCGCCATAGACACAGTCGCTTCGGTGCGAAGCTTACCGAAAGGGCCCTCAATGGCAATCATAGTGATTGGTAAGCAAGCACTCTGCTTTTTGCCTGATCCACGCGCATTCTCCTGTAAAGTCATCCGGAGAAACAAACGAAGGATGGACAACGTCCATGGTTGCCGCTGAGTCCCGAAGTGCTCGACACGTTTTCCTAATCACGCTAATTTTCTGGAGATACGGTTCCAACAACCGCAGGTTCTTTTCCGATTCTTGGATTGTTGCGAAAGCAAACTTTCGTTTAGAGTTTACCGCGATGTGCCCTTCCTTTTTGCACTTGTAGCAGATTAGCGGCTTCCATGACTTAAATGCCCGTGTGGCATCAGTGCGCTGTTTAGGAACCTCACTCAATTTCTCCGCTTCCGTTTGCCCTTCCCCTACAGTGTCGTTCGTGAGAGACGGGTCCTCTCTGAAATCACGATGCGGAGTGTGTTTCCGTTCATCAGGCTTCTTTGAAAAACTCTCTTTTCTTTTACCTTTTCTAACGCGCACTGCGCTGCTATGCAACTTTTGGTGTGTATAACCCCCGAATGCTGAAATTCGTTTAGAAAAAATGTTTAACGATTTCGTGTACTTCGTACTCAACTATATAGGAGAGCACTGAGTCGTCCCGCTAATAGAAATACGCCTGGCTCCCACTTTCAACTTGACTTGAGTAAGTCAGCGTGAAGCAAGCAGCGGACTTGAAAACGCCCAAGTGAAGCAAGCAGCGGACTTGAAAACGCCCAAGTCAGCCTTCGCGTTTCATAGATGCTCAGGCTGTCTTGCTTGGTCAAGCCAAGAACGAGCTTGAAAGCAGAAACACGCTGCTCACCTACTAACGAGGTTAATAATGACGTTACTCACGTAAGGCACGTGTTACAGCAAAAAAGACCGTACATTTTAAAATGATTATAAAAACGAAGTGCCACAAGCATACTTTTGCCATTTTACGGCTAACGAGCGGCACGTGGTTATAACGTGGTGCCTGCCGCCGCAGCCATGCGCAGTGTTGCTTCTGTAAAGCATCTGGTGCCCACTGGTTTTAGTGGCCACCCAAATGCGGCGCGTTTCTCCACGCTTGCTTGTTTGGAGGCGAAACAAGGGTTGCGTTGAGTTCTTTCGTCGTTTTTTTCTACCATCGAGCGCCATGGCGCGTGTATTTGTGCTGACCTGGCTCCCCAGGTAACGCAATTTCCACAGTATTCGCCCTTCTGTTCGCCTGTGGACACGCTTGTAGTGGGCTATGTCGCAGTTATATATGGAAAAAAAAACAAGTTCTTGGAACAAAAGTGCTTCGTATCCTTTTTTTGAGCTTGGTAAACAAGATAAAAAGTGGGGGTCAGGACATTGCCTCAGCAGAATTTTCTCTCGCGGGGTGCAGCAATGTCTCGCTGCATAATGGTGAAGGGTGAGGCACATGATCAGAAAACCCTTGATAGAGGCACCTCTTTTAGTTGTGTGTGTGAAATTTTTCACAGCGCTGTGCTGCAAGTAGTGCCTTTCTGAGCGAGAAAAATTAGACAGATCCCATGGACCTTGGAATCGACATTATGCGAAGCATGCGGAGGGAAGGTGATCGTGCTGCAATTTTTTCATTGAGCGACAGGTCATGAAATGACGCTAAACATATGTACAAATATTGCACGCATAGACATATGTTGAAGAGTTGCAGATGTTTATATAACCAGTTGTTCGAACTTGCGCCACGATGGCCGCTGTAACATGCGTATTAGCAACACCAGAAGCTGAAATGAAGTGCTGATGCTTGCGAGGATGCTGACCCTGGACACTGCTACATAAATCAATTTCGGTGCATGGCAACTAACCACAATTGACGTTAACCCGACGTCACAGCTGTATCAAAAAAGTACATATGTAATGTTTATAAAATCAGGAGGGTGGCACTGTAACCACTATTGATGTTACACGAAGATTAGCGTCTGTATAAAAAGTATTTCCGAGACCTGGCATTGCTCTGTGGTAAAATGCTTCACTGCCACGCAGAATTCTTGGGTTTGATTTTAGCTGGGACCCTTACATTTATTCTTTGCATTCGTCGGGTCGACGCTACCCAGGTCAGTTATTTCTTAACGCTTGCGCAATAAAATTGTCCGTGAGTGTTCTCGTCGTTCCTGGGTAGATACCAAGTGTCAATCATTATGGCACATACCCGCATACGTGCGGCACAAACCCGCATACAAATTTCACAAACCCGCATACGAGTGGCACAAACCCGCCCGTGGGTATGTGCCATTGTCTCGAGGGAAGTGTTGGACGAGATAAGTGACGGGATTGTGACATCATTCATGTCTTGACCAGTGCGTCGTATTTGTCAGAACATCTTACTTTTCCGTGCTAATTTTGGTTCACGCCAAGTTAAGGGGGGGGGGGGGCATGAGAGCATCTAAACGTAAGCGGCTAGATAGGTAGATAGATATGCTCAAAGTTGCTGAAGTTCGCTAAGAAATGCTTCGCATTTAACAGCGCCGTATAGACGGGACGAAAGGATAGACGAGGCACACGGACACAGCACCGAGTCAATTTTGTACCGAAAGAGACGGAAAATGTTATAAAAGTACAACTAGCCTTTGCGGTTACGAAACACTTAGGCGTCGTCACCATCCAGGCTATTATTACGCACGTGTGTGCAGTATACATCCTGTAACGCCAGGGAACTGAGCCACTTCATAAAAGTCCCGCATAACTATAGGAAGTGCTGCACAAAGCACACCAGCATTGCGTGCTTTGCGTATAGTAGTATAACGTTTCCGACTGCACTGTCGACTACGAAATGCGCACGAGATTCTCGATGACTGTGAGGAATGTGCCAGCGCCATAAAACCTGAGAGCCACCAGTAGCTGTAACATAGGAGGCACAGGCTGTCTCCGGTTGTCCCCACTTTTACGGAGCGGCAACATCGCGAGCAGCTGCCTCACGATGTTCTTCGTGAATATGTACCGAGCATGGAATTGTTGCTCGTCGTATAACTTCATAGGATTTACTCGCTCACGTAAAGTGGGTCGAGGAATCTTCGGCAGGCAGTGCACCCCAGAAAACGCTACGCTTATAGTAAGGCAAGCAAACTCAAAAGCGGCCAAACTCCGCGCGACGTCCATTCGAGAGGTGGCCATGCTAGAATAACGCATGAAGTTGCTTTCAAGCTAGCCCAGCAGCTGACTTGAAAGCTGTGTTGGCTTCCAATGAGCCAAGTCGCCTTCAAATCGTCCGCAAGTTCGAGAACGATTTGTGGTGAGTGGCAAGACTGTCTTGAGTCAAGAACGAGTCAAGTACGGGTCAAGTAACATCACTGCATTCGGGGGTAATACTCCTCAGCTAACTCTGCGGCCTTGTTTAGCTGTACTTCGCCAAGCTTGCTTTGCAGCCAAAGCTTGACGTCATCTTCGATGCATCCTCAATGCCGCATTGGAGCAATTCTACAATTGCTCCAATGCGGCATTGAGGATGCAATGCGGCATTGAGGATAAGGTGGTAGAATGCATTGCATTGGAGCAATTGCTCCAATGCAATGCATTCTACTACCCTATCGCGATCGTCATAAACATCTTAGCCCTTGAGCCATTCAATTAAATCTGCTATAGCACGAAACGCAAAGTCACCGTGCGACTCAATACTCTTTTTTTTTTGCATACCGTAACATTTGCCGGAAAGCCTCGGGTGACAAATTATAACGTCTGAAGAGTACTTCCTCAACCTTGTCATAGCTCTCAAACGTTTCCCTCGACAAGAACGTTATCACGTCGGACGCTTCGCCGGGAAGTAGAGCCACAGAACACATATACACAGCCATTTAGAGAAGGAAAACTGTACCTTTGGCAGCGCAACGAAAATAAGGGTAGCTGTAGCGTTGTGAAGTAACTTATCCGGCCTAGAGACGGCACTGATAGGCCTATCATCATAATTGCGATGGGACAATATCGCGGCTGCTTTGGTAGCGGGTGCGGGGGGTCGCGGTGCGTGCCCGCAGGTTTATGGGCGTTTATCAGCTGCTATTGCGGGGTGGTATTCGCGCGTACGGCACGCTAACGTCACTATGAATATTTCCGCTTTGCCGCCAGGTGACCTAGACGCCTCAACTGGCAAAAAACACGCCAAGCAAGTAAGTTTACATTGTTTATTGACAATCGTGAATGCAGCAGTATACGTGTAAACAAGCAACACTGTCTCTGACAGAGTTGAACAATAAATGAAAAAAAAAACAGTGATAGCCATCTCTTTAATAAAATTACCCGCTGAAATTTTGCAACTTTGTCTCTCATCTTGTTCAGTCAGACAACGATATTTGCACTGGGCAACCCTTGCACAGTACTTAATACTGTGCTGCCCATTGTCTTTTTCACCACACATGATCTCAAAAAGTGCATTGTCAGTATATGATTAGCCTGATACGCAATATAATATTTGACAACGCATCGGCGAGAAGCACATCGCATTGAATAAAAAGAAATGACCCCACGCTGTTGTGCTAGGTATCCCTGCGTATAACACTGTTCTCAATATTGTGTTTAGAATCTGTTCTTACCTGCGCGTCCGATCTTTTTGCGACTAACTAGATTAACTTCCAGTTGTGGTAAGCAAGTCCATCCTGGGAAAACACCATTTACAGCATTGTGTTGAAAAGGAAACTTGGTTTATGTTTCAAAAGAGGTGAAAGGGTTGCAGTGAAAGACACTTTAATTGAGTAACAGTTGGCGAATAATG